AACATATTATAAAGCCATTAACGACTGGGCCACACTACCAAGTGCTTTAAAGAAACTGATGCCGAAAACTATTTTTAAATACAAACTGAAACAGTTTTTCTTGAACCATTTTAACCTTAGTTAGTAGTATTTTAATTCTTGTTTTAGTTTTTAATCTCAGTTAGCTTACCGCATAGTTTTTTTGTCCTTTTTATTGTATCTTAGATTTTAATGTATTTTCAAGGTTTAACATTTATTTTCTCAGAGGACCCTCCTGAAAACCACCTTATGGTGATTGGAGGCCTCCTCTTAAAATATTATTTATCATTATTTTAATCAATCTCTCTTACAGAAGAAACTCTCGCTCTAATATACATGAGGCTTAAAGTTCTAGAAACTTCTATTAAGAGCTGAATTTAGTAGTTTGACACAGCTTCTAATCTGAGTAATTAAATAAGGATCAGAATGTTCTGGAATGTTCTTACACAAATTGGTCACGGCTGAATGACTTCCGGTTCTAGATTGTTCTAGAACTTGACTTAGACAGTTTTTCGTAGCATCGTCATCCCCTCGATTCATCACTAAAACGTTCCCTACCCTCAGGAATACTTCCCCAAGTACTTAAATTTACACCTGACATGACAAGCTACTGAGTAACTTACCGTTTTAGTAAAAAGCTTTCTTTCCCATCAAGAGATGACAAATGTACAAGGTACTCAATAAACGTAAGGTACGAACGATCAAAGATTCGCAGACTGTCTTCGCAGTGGGGCCTGGGAACTGCTAACAAACAAATAACCTCAAGTCGAGATATCAAACTTTGTTACAGAGTTTTTAATCACAGAGATTCATCCGAGAAATTATTTGTGATATCCAAAGGAGCAAGAGCAAGCAGTGTAAAGGGCGCGCCAGAAACGGTGAAAAGTTGGAACGCCCGCAGACACATCAAATGTTGCGTACCTAGTGCAGCGAACTCGGAGCGTTGTGCGCTAGGATCGCTGAGTGTCAACCACAGTGCAGGAACGTTAAGCTAGGTAAACTTTTATTGGGATCAACTTGACTAAGTCTCGCACACCTCCGGTGAAAACTACACAGCAATTGTGATTGCGTAATCAATAAATTCAGCCAAGAATTACAAGCAAAAGAACCAAATCAAGGTAAGACAAAAGAGCGAATATGTACAAGCGTGACTTACGTCTGATCCTGTCTAAGGGCTTAAAGAATTTGACTCCGATAACTCCGATGTAAGTCCGATTAACAGGTAACTCCTAGTAAGCTCCAATAGACCTTCCATCTCACTCAATCTCTTATTAAGCTCTGACGCATTTTTCTTTTACTAAAAGGGGCATGCCCTGAAGGATGACAGATGTATAATTTTTAACCGATAAAAAAACAGAATGTGCCAGATAAACGATTAAGACCACGAACAATAACATTACCAAAGCGGGTGTAGCTGAATGATGAAAGGGAACTATAATAAAGAAAACAAACGAAGCTGTATTACTCCAGGTTGTACAGTGGAATCCCGTTAATACGACCACCTTCTGGCGATGGAAAATTGGTCGCTTTAACGGGGTGGTCGTATTAAAGGGGTTCTTTAAATGAGAAAATGACTGACTGAGCTTTTTTGGGCTGGAATAAAGTGACCGTAATAAGGAGGTGGTCGCATTAACAGGGTGGTCGTAAGGCGGGGTTCCACTGTATCAACAAAAAGATCTCCTAAAAAAATTTATCTTTTTGTGTATTAGCTGTTCATCACAT